TTTATCATAACCAGGTATCAGCAACGCTTTGCCTTGTTTTCATTCTCCTAATTTGCAAGGATCATCAATAATGGGTTAACCTGATAGAACAAGCTGTGCGACAATTCCTTTCAGATAGTGTACAGAGAAAGCATTTTAACACATTAGATATTTCTTACTTTATCTATATATCCCTATTATAAACCAGCAGTACAAAACTCTCTCTAACCGGCCTAATAACATTGTATCCCTATTATAATGCTTTATATCTTCTGTCTGGACTCATAATAACATGGTATCCCTATTATAATGCTTTATATCTTCTGTCTGGACTCATAATAACATGGTATCCCTATTATAATACTTTATATCTTCTGTCTGGATTCATAATAACATGGTATCCCTATTATAATGCTTATAGCAACTGTGTATACTGTATTATATCTACTGTATTGTAATAACAATGTATCCCTATTATAATTGCTGTATATTTCTGTATGGACTGTTTAGCTACTGTATCATAATAACATTATACTCCTATTATAATGTTTATAGCTACTGTATATTCAGTATTATACTTACTGCAATAACATTGTATACATATAATAAGGTACTTTATGGACCGTATAGTCACATAGTTACAGTATATGATCATATTTTACATATGCCAATGCACCCCAATTTTGAGCAAGACCCATTCCAACTACCTAACGTCTCCTCCTGGGCTCTCTGCAGGGCAAGGTTAAAGAGGAATGAGGCACCTGCGGCAGAGAGAAATGCAAATTCTTCCTGTCTTTGGTATCAATACTAAAAAAATGTACAATTTTGGGAGAAAGTTCTAAAATTGGAGCAATCAGTACAAACATTCCATGGGGTTTCCATGGAAACTGAGCCACTTTTAGAAGTTTGCCGCAGAATTTCCCCTTATAAATACCTAATGTGTATTTGCCTGTATAGAATAGCGGTACGTATTGCGTGTGATAACACTATATATTTCTTTCCTAGGAGTTAAGAAGAAAACAAAAGTGGTGAAGAATAACATAAATCCCATTTGGAACGAGGTAGGCTGCTCAGTTCTGACGGATAATACAGTGTTACTATTTTAGGGCCAGCGTAGCTCCCCCACCCCCTGTCTGTCTGCTTTCCATGCAGTTTGTATTTAGTGGCTTTGTGTTAGCCTTCCTTAGATATGCTGCCTGGAAGTGAATACAGTCTGCGAGGAGGGCGACTGGCCCATGCCATGAGTGTTAGTGCATATAAGGAATGGAGCTCTGCATGTATAAACATTGATCCCTCAGTTTTTACAAGACTCATTCTTGCCCGGGATGTTTTCCCTGTTCATGCATTCCTGCGAAGGATGTGAAATCCTTAAGTGGTAGTGTAAAATCTCATACTCCCATTGTTCTCAGGCAGCCTGTGACTGAATATTGAAAGTAGATTTAATTCAGATAAGGAATGAGTTGACATTCTAGCCGAATTGTATGCACAGCAGCCTGAGTGGCGGACGCAATCTTGTTGTAAACATTTCTCATGGCGTCATGGCTTGGCTGAGGATGGACTATATTGCCAGCTGTTTCATGACCCAGCTCGTACATTCCTAAAAACTCAAGTTAGAAGACTGGGACTATCCAGATCGTATTCAGATCGTATTCTTATTGTAGAGTCCAGCTCTTGGTTGGTTTAGGACAAAGGTAGTCAACCTTCGGCACCCGAGATGTTGTGGATTACATCTCCCATGCTGCTTTGACAGCATAACTGCTTTAGAGCATTATGGGAGATGTAGTCCACAGCATCTGGAGTGCCAAAGGTTGCCTACACTTGGTATAGGAGTTGGTAAGAAGATCATCATGATGTACAGAGCCATAGACTGCTTCCCTCCTTCCAGTCATAATGTATCTTTAATTATGTAAATCCATTATCTGTTATTGTATGTGCAGTGGATTTATCGGAATGCATTTTATTTTATCCTTCTAAATGCGATATGGCCTCTAGCTACGGGAGACACTGCCAACTCCCTACTTTATTATGTTCCGAAGAAGAACTGTGAATAATTACGACTTGTCCCAGCAGTTTGCTGAAATGAACATTAGATTTCTGATTGAACTCGTTGGCGTTTATCTATGATATTCATTTGTTGCTGGGGCACGTTTCCCTTAAAGCTTCCTGGTCCTAGTCATTTCTTCTAAGATAAAATCCCAGGAAGCTGCGGTTTATTAACTAAAGTGTGAGATGTGGAGAACTGAAAATGTTTAGATCAGTGGTAGTCAACCTTTTTCTACCTACCGCCCACTAATGCATCTTTCTTGATGGAAAAATTTCCTTACCGCCCACCAGTTTTCGCGCAAGTGCGGAATATTTTTTAGAAAGGAGGGTGTTTTAAAAAAATAAATAAATGTACGTACATTTATCTTTTTATTTCTACTTAATGCATGTTTATAATGTTTTTAACTTTATAAAGTTTAATGAGAAAACAATAAAGTAAATTGAAATTACCTTTACTAGTGATTAATGAGATCCTTGAGGCTGATGCTGCGAGACTAAATATTTGATATCTGGTTCGATTTTCGTAAGGAACAAACGAAGGTCTCCTCTTTCGGTGATATTCAGACGACTTCTCTGCAAATAATATGATTTCTCATCTGTGTGTCAGCTCATCTCCTCTCCCTCCTCAATTCCCCTCCCCACCTTTTTTTTTCCTTTTTTCTATTTTTTAACCTTCCTTATAGCAATGCCCAGTAGGAAGGCTAAGCTAGGTAGCCCACTTACTATTACTTACTATAGCCCACTATAACAGACACACACAAGACACACATACAAAGACACATGCATACAAACAGACAGGCACACATACACACGGCACATACATACAAACAGACATGCACACATACAGACACACACAAACACACACACACACACACATAAGACATACATACACACATATATACAGACAGACACACACACACAAGACATACATACAAAGACACATACAGACACATACATGCAGACAGACACACACAACAAACATACAAAGACACACAAACAAACACACAAAATATTTTAGTCACCCACTTGTTTCCAACCTTTTAGGTGCAGGAGGGTGACTTTCCCTGGGGTCCAGTGGTGGCTCAGGTGGATGGGAGTCAGAGTTTATACTCTGACTTCCTGGTCTTCCTCCCGCGCGGTTTGTGTGTTAGCTGGGAGGAGTGACGTGCAGTCACTTCCTTACAGCTTGTGATGTAATCACAGGGGGCCCGGTCGCACAGTTAAAGCGCTCAGCCCTGACCGGACCCCCTTACAATCCACGTCCATCGGGTGGCCCTGACAGCATGGGCCACCCGATGGACCCCTTGGACGGTGGTTTGCCGCGCGGGCCGGGGCCGCAAATGGCTCGCACCCGCCCTCCTGCCCACCCAATCTCTCAAAATTAGGAAATCCCTACCACCCACCTGGAATCCTGAAGTGCCCACTAGTGGGTGGTAGGGACCAGGTTGACGACCCATGGTTTAGACCATTCTCCAGGTTCCAGGCTCCAGGTTCCCGAGCCTCATTGAAATATTTTGCTGCAATTGTGGCTACCATCTCTGCTGGAATGCTGTTTACTGCATCTATAAACTCTCTCTATATATATTTAAATACACACATTTACCATACTATTCTCAGCCCCCATATTCATGTTCTGTCTTTTTGTTTTAAAGTGATAGTACAGCCCCCAAAACAACTTTACCTTAATGAAGCAGTTTTGGTGTATAGAACATGCCCCTGCAGTCTCAATGCTCAATTCTCTGCCATTTAGGAGTTAAACCACCTTTGTTTCAGTTTTTTGCAGCCCTAGCCACACCTCCCCTGGCAGCCTGCATGAAAAAAAGGTTTCATTTTCAATCAGAGGTTAAATTATAATTGTGTATAAATGTATAGAGTAGTGGATTCTGGAATCATTGCTACTTGTACAGCTTTAGACAGCTGATTGTTATCAGAGGTGATTATTACATTCTTGATCTATTTTCTGTCTCCTCGCAGGGTTTTGAATGGGATCTAAAAGGCGGTCCTTTGGATAGTAATTCTGAGCTCACTGCCGTTGTGAAAGACCATGAAACGATGGGAAGAAATAGGTAAAGTGACACCTTAATAATATAAAATAAGGGGGACTCTGGGCTAATTTGCAGATTGATGTGGTTTTGGTTTTAAGACGTCTACACAGTATTTACCTATATTTGACTCTTTCTTGGCTTTCAATAGTTCATGGAAGCTTAGGAATGTATTTACTAAACAGTGGATTGTGGAAAACTTTCACGATTAAGGCAAAAATATCTCAGTTGAAAAATTCCAAACTGCTGACATATTGTGGCAAACATGCCTATGCCACAAGCTCTTGGAGGAGCCAGCTAGCTAGCCTCCTGCCCAAGGCCTATGGGCTGTATTCATAGTTCCCATTCAGGAGTTAACCTGCCCGGCCTTCCCAAGCAGCTTTCCCTAAGTGCCCCTGATTCGGGACGTTCCCATCTTTGGAACTGAACCGAACACTAGTTCCCTGTCGGCCGTTCGCATGAACCAAAGCCACGAATGGTCCTCCGCCATACTTAGCCATGACAGATATGGAACTTACTTCAGCACGAGGTATTCGTAGGTCCCCAGTCACCTCAGTGGTACTTAGCCGCAAATGTTATGGAATTGTTTTCGGCATGAGGTGACCGTGCGGTTCCTGGACAATTGCTCCAGGTTTTGAGGAGAGTTTTAATCACTTGAACCTGGATCCAGGACCCTGTTCCAGAGTGGGAAGCGATGGCGAGACACCGACCAAGTTGCGGCGGCTAGGGGCTGGAGCGCTGCTGGTGTCAGGGTAGCAGGTAATAGTTAGCGAGCTGGCTTGGTGTCAGGATAGCAAGTGGTCCGCCACAGATATATTTCATGTAATGTTATAAGCAGGGGTCAAGTCCTGGGGAAAAAAGTGTGGGAACTCACCCAAGATTCCCGCCCCCGCCCCCTTTAAAAAAAAAAAAATTACACTCCTATGCATATAGTGCAGTGCAGGGTGTGTATAGTGAATGCAGAGTGTGTATAATGAATGCAGTGTGTTTTTAGTGAGTGCAGAGTGTGTACAATGAATGCAGTGTATGTAGTGTGTTTGTAGTGAATGCAGAGTGTGTATAGTGAATGTAGTGTGTAGTGAGTGCAGAATGTGCATAATAAATGCAGAGTGTGTATAGTGAATGCAGAGGGTGTATAGTGAATGTAGTGTGTTTGTAGTGAGTGAAGAGTGTGTGCGCGCTGGATGACGTGTGTGTGAGTGCTGGATGACGTGTGTGTGAGTGCTGGATGACGTGTGTGTGAGTGCTGGATGATGTGTGTGTGTGCTGGATGATGTGTGTGTGTGTTGGATGGTGTGTGTGTGTGTGATGTGTGAGTGTGTGCTGGATGATGTGTGTGTGTGTGTGCTGGATGATGTGTGTGTGTGTGTGTGTGTGCTGGATGATGTGTGTGTGTGTGCTGGATGATGTGTGTGTGTGTGTGCTGGATGATGTGTGTGTGTGTGTGTGTGTGCTGGATGATGTGTGTGTGGGAGTGCTGGATGATGTGTGTGTGTGTGCTGGATGATGTGTGTGTGTGTGCTGGATGATGGGTGTTTGTGTGTGTGCTGGATGATGGGTGTTTGTGTGTGTGCTGGATGATGGGTGTTTGTGTGTGTGCTGGATGATGGGTGTGTGTGGTGCTGGATGATGGGTGTGTGTGTGCTGGATGATGTGTGATGGATGATGGGTGTGTGTGTGCTGGATGATGGGTGTGTGAGTGCTGGATGATGGGTGTGTGAGTGCTGGATGATGGGTGTGTGTGTGCTGGATGATGTGTGTGGGGGGGGAAAGCATTTTTTTTCTTACTTTATGTGTTTATTTTATTCCCCCCTCCCTGTTTCTTACCTTGTCAGGGAGGGGGGAGATCGCCTGGTGGTCCGGTGGAGGGAGCCAGCCGCTGCACAGAGGGGCCATCACACGCTGTGTTCCCTCTCCAGCTCTAACTCTCGCGAGACTCGCCTGTGCGGAGCGTTGCCATGGTAACAGCCGCGGGTCTCGCGAGAGTTAAAGCTGGAGAGGGAACACAGCGTGTGCTGGCCCCTCTGTGCAGGGACCAGGGCCGGTCCTGCAGGACAGGTAACGGGAACGGCGTTCCTGCTTTGGAAAAAGTGCAGGAACGCCATTCCCATGCGTTCCTGCAGGACTCGAGCCCTGGTTATAGGTCTGGTAAGCAATAGGAGATAGTAAATAAAAAACCAGACCACACTATTATAACTTTTTTTTAATAGACTAGTCCATGGTTTATTTAAGAGTAAGGAGCATAGCAATAACTAATTATCCAAATAACACCCCCTAAAGGAACACTATTGCGTTAGGAATACAAACCTGTATGATTGCCCCTGTCCCTAGTTCTTAACAGGCCCCCCCAATTTTCAGTTTTGGCGCTGCTCACCTTTCTGACTCCAGTGATGTCATTGAGTAGGCATGGTCTCCTCCACCATTGTTCAATCCAATCTTCCCAGAAAAACATTGGGGACCTGATGTGCAAGTGCAGTGATGGCTGTGCATATCCAAAGCTTCTCATAGGAAAGCTATGAGCTTCCGTATCTTGTGACTGAGTTTTGGGCACTTTCTGTCATACATGGTGGGACTGCACATGTATTATATTCTTATGTATAATCAGAACCTTCATGTGAAAACAATAAATCTACACCATGAAAAATCCACCACTGTAATGGTGGAGATAAACTGTTATTAATTAGTGCATACCTCCCAACATACAAGCCTGCAGTATCTTGATGTGATGAGCGGGCCCGCAGGGGACATTGCCAGGGACATCAACCACATCACTAACTACAACCATAATGGTTCCTGCCTGGTGCTCCCTGAATAGTCCTAGTGTCCACTGCACAACGCAAGCACATAAAATGATGCACTTGCACTGTGCTCCCCAGACAGTTCCCTGGTGTCGTCAGATGTTGGACACCAGGGAACTAAAGTGGGATGACAGGACAGGACCCCAAAATCAGAAATAATGGAATACCTGTTAGTGTCTCAGTTATGCACTCTTTTTACATTGTGATAGAGCCAAAATTCTAAATCCAAAGTGATGCTAAAAATAGCACAACAAAAAACAAATTCATTATTTGTAGAAGGGAAACATATTTGATATTGGTTTATTAGAAAAGATTTACCCACTTTTTTACACAACCCAACCCAACCCAACCCAACCCAAGAGTGCCACTATTACACCACTGTATTCATAGTTTTTGTACTTAACCATCAATGATTCCATTACAATGTGCATCTTTGTGTGGCAATAATGAATCACCTTCAGCTGACTTCAAGTGAAGAGATACGTTTGGATTGTGCCACCTACTGGCACAATCATTCTTAACACCTCCATCCATGCCTTGTGACTTCTGACTGCCATTGTCTCAGTCATTTGATATCCCTCAATGAATCCTTGAAAATAATATTTTTTTCTATTCAGGACAGGATTGAGATTTGCGACAATTTCAGAATATGTCTTCACATTAATATTTCTGAAGACCATACCAACACTCGATAGTCACGGGTTCACTCTACCTAGTCACAGAAAAGGATAATGTTTTCCATTTAAGATTTCATCATAATGAAAATCACTGAAAGATGGAATCTTACTGCTAAGACATGCCATGAACCCCCACATTACTGATGGCTCCTCGTAGTCCTAAACTGTTTTTTTCTGGGATGTTTGAACATTACTAGACCTATACTTTAGAAACATCTGGGGTGACAAGGACATTTATCATTTCTGAGGCTTGATGTGACTCTTGTTGCCCCAATCTATATTTAGATGGCAACATTGCATGGGTAAGGTCTGCTGCTAAATTTGCGTATTGTATAACAAGGTGCCGAGTGCTTCCTGTCCTGCAAACAATGGTTCTGGCTGTCAAAGGCTTTTCTTTAGAACACATCTGTGCAGGATATAAACAGGACACTGCGCTTTCTAAATTCAGAATTCAGAATCAGAATCCTGTTATACTCACACACAAGATATTTTTCAAAGTGCATTACATTCCAAAAGACACCTCTAAACTAATAATAGCTTTCCGAAGGTCATGAGACCCACAACTAGAATTCAAATCCTTTCTAACATATATGGACATCCTCTGTCATGCAAGTTACTCGGGTCTATTCATTCGTGCGGTTGTTCGGTAGATTGAAACTACCGAACAACCGGCAGAAAAGCACGAATACAGCTTTTCTGCAGGCAAAATAAAGTCTTTTAAAAGGGGGCCATAGTCCAAAGGCAGCAGGCGAGCAACCAGGCTTCTCCAATGCAATGTGGCGAGATTGGTCTCGTCACATCTCTCCCCTTTTCCAAACAGACTAACAGGGTATCTGACCTCCTGCCGGTCAGTGCCCTTGTTAGTCCAGCAGCCCACCCACAAAACATAATCAACAGCACAGCCCACCCACAATAAATGGTTACTGCACCTGGGTAGAGGAGAAGCTTGTCCATGTCCAGGTGCCTCACCACGGCTGTGCTGGGTACGGGTACGCTGACTTGGTGGGTTGCTGCGTGGGCAGAGACCAGCGGCACTCTGCCCTGTTGCCAGCGCTACTGGGAGGGTAGCCTGAAGCCTGGTTGAAGCCTGGTTGTTGGAGGGGGAGACCGACTGTCTCCCCTTTAAATACACCGCTCTGCTGCTGGAGACTGACTGTCTCCCCTTTAGATACACAGTCCTGCTGCTGGAGACCGACTGTCTCCCCTTTGGTTACCCATCTCTGCTGCTGGAGGGGGAGACCGACTGTCTCCCCTTTGGCTAAAGAGCCCTGTCGCTGGGGTGCAGAACCGACCATCCCTACCCCCTGTGCTGGCAGTGTAGAGACTACGGTCCCATCTGCACAGTTGTGGGGCTTACTGTCTCCCCTTCCCACTGGAGTGGGAGGAGTTTGCCGTTACTGCTGGAGAGTGAGCTGCTCTGTGCTTCATCTGTGTGTTCCCAGGACCACACCCGTTTGTGGCTGCTTTTGGAGCTCGATTTCTGGGCTTTGGAATTACTACAGCAAGGGGCTCTGCCTGGGCCTAGGCAAGCATGGCCCTCGGGCCTTCCTCCCCAGCCTGGGGATGGAAGGTCAGGCTGGACGAGCTGCAGGCAGTGCTGGCTTTTGGGGAAGGTAAGGCGGATACCAGGGGCCTGTCTTGGACTGAGCATCAGGCCCTCTCCCGGCAAATACGAAACCAGGTCTCCCTGTTGGAGGAACTGGCGGGGGGGATGTCTAGGAAGCTTACAGCATGGAAAAGGGAAGTGGGGGTCCCCCAGGGAGCTACGGCCCACACCAGGGCCGATATCCAGCTGCTCTCTGGGCTGCTGGCTGAGTGCCATGAACTTGCCAGCAGTGGCCTCCACTTCCTAGAACAGCCCCCCCCGTCCCTGGAGGTGGGAGAGGGTACCGAGGAGGAGGTAGTCCCTGAGACCCCCCCTGAGGTGGCTAGTGCCAGCAAGGCCCCTCAGGCCTCCCTCACCTATGCTGAGGCTGCAAAGGGTGAGGGGGTTGAGGCTAGGGTCTTTATGGGGCTACCTTCTGACAGGCTCCGGGGTCTGCTTGTGTCCCTGAAGGCCCAGCATGCCGAGGCAGACTCGGGCCTAGCTGGGGTCCAGGCAGAGCTAAGGGAGCAGAGGGAAAAATCAAACAGGACCTCTAATTACAAAAGAGGTCCTTTGAGGGCCGCTATAGCTGAGAAAAAATTAGTGGAGCAGCATCTATCCTACACCCTGCTCCAGACTGAAAAGAAAATAGCAGACATCCAGGCCATCCTGCAACAGAGAGCCAAGGACGCTGTGAGGTCCAGGAGGCAGAGGGCTATGGAGGGCAGGAGGGACATGTCCCCAGGTGAGGAGTCCAGCAAGGACTTGGATTCCAACTCCCATCACTCACCTGGGGAGCCGTCTACCTCTGCCCTTGCTACTCCAGGGGGCGCTGCTGAGACGGAGAGGAAGGCCAGAGAGAAGGACAGTGAAGAGGAGTGGGACGGAGAGAAAGGTGAAGAGTGGCAGCTGAAAGTGCAGGACAGAGGTCGAGGGCTGATTAAGGAGTCTCTCCTCAAGTTTGGAAACAAACTTGGGGAGGGCTCCGTAAAGGACAAAAAGAAGAAAAAGAAAAACATCGCCCGGCGTCAGCCTGAGACCTCTGTCAGGGGGTCTGGAGATTCCACAGAGGAGGGTGAGTGCTCAAATGCTGAGTATATGTACAATGAT